GAAAATTATGCTGAGTATCATATATGTATTATATATGAGTATCATACTCACCAAGGTTTTGAGCATGTGTTAAGTAAGATTGTTCAAAATGACTTTATAAGTTGATTTATATAATATATATATATATATATATATAATATATATATATATAATATATATATATATATATATATATATATATATGTATGTATATATATATATATATATATATATATATATATATATATATATATATATATATATATATATATATATATATATTATATATATATATATATATATATATATATATATATATATATATATATATATATATTATATATATATATATATATATATATTATATATATATATATATATAACATATATATATATATATATATATATAATATTATTATTATTTCTATTCTACAATAACAGTTTGAAATTTCTATGAGCTGGGAATCTATCGAGACCCAGCTATAGTAGACCAACGAACAATTGAATTAATCCATTTGTCATAATTAATTTTGCATTGGTCAACTGTATTTGAAGCATCAACAAAATCTGGTTGACAATTCCAATAAGGTACTACGCGATTGCATAAAAAATTATATCTGGCTGAATTTAGTAAACTAGTAAACTCTCTATGAATTTTGAATTTTGCATCGCGTAGACCACCAACTGGGCCATTGACTGTTAATGGGCTGAGTGTATAATTCTGCCACTTAAATATATATATATATATATATATATATATATATATATATATATATATATATATATATACATATATATATATATATACATATATATATTATATATATATGTATATTGTATATATATATATATATATATATATATATATATATATATATATATATATATATATATATATATATATATATATATATATATATATATATATATTATATATATATATATATATATATATATATATATATATATATATATATATATATATATATATATATATATATATATATAATATTATTATTATTTCTATTATACAATAACAGTTTGAAATTTCTATGAGCTGGGAATCTATCGAGACCCAGCTATAGTAGACCAACGAACAATTGAATTAATCCATTTGTCATAATTAATTTTGCATTGGTCAACTGTATTTGAAGCATCAACAAAATCTGGTAGACAATTCCAATAAGGTACTACGCGATTGCATAAAAAATTATGTCTAGCTGAATTTAGTAAACTAGTAAACTCTCTATGAATTTTGAATTTTGCATCGCGTAGACCACCAACTGGGCCATTGACTGTTAATGGGCTGAGTGTATAATTCTGCCACTTAACTATATTAAAGTTCTTGAAAATATATATTATATATATATATATATATATATATATATATATATATATATATATATATATATATATATATATATATATATATATATATATATATATATATATATATATATATATATATATATATATATATATATATATATATATATATATATATATATATATATATATATATATATATATATATATATATATTAGGTTGACCGGAAAGTAATGTCGTATTTTTACGTCAAATTAAAACAAATAATTTTTTTATAATATTTATTTTTAATCAATGATATAATCACCCTCATTTTCCACAACCTTTTGCCATCGAGCGGGCAAACTTTCTATACCAGATCGAAAAAAATGTATTGGTTTGTCATTAAAATATCTGGAGATGCCATTTTTTAAGTAGTACAAAGTTTGAAATTTTTTGTCACTTAGAAAGTGCTGTAAGGATCGGAACAAATGAAAATCTGAAGGGGCGATATCAGGTGAATATGGAGGGTGGGGCAGCACCTCCCATCCCAATTCATTAATTTTTTCTAGCGTCCGTCGTGCACAGTGCGGCCTTGCATTGTCATGTTGAAGAATGACACCTTTTCTGTTGACGATAGCCGGGTAATTCTCAACTAGAGCTTGGTTCACTCGATCAATAAAGGTCCGCATTAACAGTTTGTCCAGGAATAAGCACTTCAAAGTGGACGATTCCGCGGATGCTCCACCAAACACACAGGAGCGCCTTCTTGGGGTGTAATCCCGGCTTTGCAGTACTGCGTGCTGGTTCATTTGGGGAGAGCCACTGCCTTTTGCGTTTTGGATTATCGTATAGGACCCATTTTTCATCTCCAGTGACCAAACGATCAAGAAACGGTTCTGCATGGTGCCGTTGAATCAATGCATTGCACGTGGTTGATCTGTTGGCTTTGTTTTGCACTGACAAGTTATGGGGGACCCAAACACCTGCTCTGCTGATTTTTCCTATCTGGTGTAAATGTTCTTGGATGGTCGACCAAGGTTGGTTAAGGGTGTTCGACAATTCTTCGATGGTTTGGCATGGATTTGCTTCAACTTCTGCCCTTAGAACGTCGTTGTCTTATGACATTGGTCTTCCTGGTCGATGGGCGTCAGAAAGATCAAAATTCCCAGATCTAAACTTGGAAAACCATCTTTGGCATTTGCGAACATCTAATGAACCTGGGTAAACATCACTAATGTTCTTAGTCGCAACTGTAGCGTTATTACCTTTGCGAAATTCAAAAAGCATACAATGACGAATATGTACTTCCTGTATTTCGTATGCCATTTCACTCCAATTTGCAAAGAAAACTATTTAATTTTAAATAATTTAGAAGTAAACAAGTCACACTAATATAAAAATAACTTGTGCACGTGTTCGAGACACAATAAACTGGCCAACGATTATCGAATGTCAACATGCGCAAAAACGACATTACTTTCCGGTCAACCTAATATATATATATATATAATCTTTAAAAGTCATTTTCTTGTTATACGATATCATTTTTATACGATATACGATATGTCTTGTTATACGATTTTTGTTATACATTTTTGTTTATAAGAAATGATTATTTTTATTGAATTTTACATTTTTGAATTTTTCAAGATCAGCTGCTTGTTCTAGGCGATCGAAAAGAGAAGATTTTTTGCCAAGACAGGAGTATAAAGTTGAGTCATCAGCAAAAAGAGCTACTTTAGATGAAAGGTTGTCAGGAAGATCATTTATGTAGATAAGAAACAAAACAGGGCCCAGGTTGGAGCCTTGGGGAACCCCAGAAGTTACTGGAAATAAAGAAGAGTGTTGGCTTTCAAGGATGACTTTAATAAACCAGTTAGAAAGAAATGATTTGATAATCCCAAAAACTTACCCAGAAACACCATATGAAGCAAGCTTATGGAGAAGACCAGCATGCCAAACTTTGTCGAAAGCTTTAGATATGTCGAGAGCAATAGCCCTAGCCTCACCGCCTCCATCTAATGTACGATAAAATCTTTCAGTTACAGCAGTTAGCAAGTCGGCCATAGAGCGAGAGGATCAAATACCGTATTGATTGTCTGACAGTAGTTTATTTGACTCAAGATGAGATGTGAGGAATTTGTTGATTAAAGACTCAAAGACCTTGCTAATAATAGAAAGAAGACTGATCAGTCGATAATTGGAGGGGTCAGAATTTTCTCCAGAGTTTTTGAATATTGGAACTACAGATGCCATTTTCCAACAAGCAGGAAAACAAGACTCAGTCAAACACTTGTTAAATAGTTTAGAGAGAACTGAAGAAAGTTCTGGAGAACAATTCTGCAAGACTGTGACAGAAATGTTGTCTGGACCACAAGCTGTAGACGAGTTAATTGAGATATGACTTTAGCAACAGAAGTCGAAGTGATTTGAATGTCTAACAATGGGTCAACCTGTTTGACTGGAATGGAAGGAAGAGAATGTCCATAAGATTCAAGAGTGGAATTAGAAGAAAAGTTCTTTGCAAATAGTTCTGCCTTATCCTTGGGAGAGGTAATAAGATCAGTCCCATGAATGAGAGATGGAATGTTAGATATACCCTTGTTAATAATGCTGTTGAAGATTTCCAAAAGTCTTTAGAGCCTAACTTCTGTGATAAGATGCGAGATTTAGTGAACTGAGAATAATGGAGTTTAGCATCAGAAAGCACTTTTTTACATCGATTTCTTGCAATAATAAATAGCCGTTTGTTCTCAAAAGAGTTGTTCTTTTGAAAAAGGTGAAAAAAATGATTATGATTGGATATAGCACAAGAAGGAGAAAACCATGGAGTAGAATGAGGCTTGACTTGAAACCGACGAGAAGGAATAAAAGCTTCCATTCCAGCCTGAATCCAGGAGGTTACGTAGGAGGCTCATTTATCAGCTGAGAGAGAAAAAACATCCGCCCAAGGACCATCACAAAGAAAATCACGAAAAGAATCCCAGTCAGTTTTAGGGTAGTAGTAGGTGGTGCGATGATAAGGTGAGCCCAAAAAAGAAGTATGAGAAGAAAGATTTATAGAGATCATTGCATGGTCAGAACCACCTAAGGGAGAAAAGGGAGAAACGGAACCTAAGCTAGGGTCAGAGACAAGACATAAGTCATAGAGTGAAGGTTAATGATTAGGGTTGTCAGGAAAACGAGTCACAAAGTTAACTATCCGAGTAAGATATTGAGAAACGCAGAAGTTAAAGGCTTTAATGCCAGCAGGATCAGTGGTATTAGAGTCAAACCATTCAGTGTGATGGGCATTAAAATCACCAACAACAACAATATTGGCGGAGGGGTAAAGAGAGAGGGCATGGTCAATTTGATCAAAGATAACATCTAAAAAAGTGCAATCATAGGAAGAAGGAAAACGATAAAGAACAAAGAAAAAGGTGATAGAGTGAAGAGGTGCTAGGCGAAAGCACATAAAAAAATGGTCAAAGGATTCGAACCTGATTTCACGACAAATAGGGGAATTAATGCTTATGTATACCCTTAAACCTAGCATGTGACTATTGAAGTCTTTACGAATCAAAGGATAGTACCCATCAACACTGACATCTGAAGAAGGAATTGCCTTTTTTTAAAAACCTTAAGGTAGACAATATATATATATATATATATATATATATATATATATATATATATATATATATATATATATATATATATATATATATATATATATATAAATAAATCATGTTAGTCTACAAATAGAGGGCTTAATCCTAAAACCTTCCAACCTTTTTTTTTTTAAACCTTGAGGTACACAAAAAAAAAATCTTGTGATTTACTCAAAAACCTGGATACACAAAAAAATTGTTTTATGTGATTGTTTTACAGACCGCGAATAGTTGTAAAAGATATATTAAAACATTTAGGTGGTGGGGATAGTTTTTTTAGGTTTTAAATTTTTGGTTACTTTAGTCATGATTCGGGTTTAATGAGAACTTGACTTAGTCATAGATAGAGCACAGCCTCCTAATCAATAAGCTATGCAGTTGTCTCATTCCTGTTAATTAACCCTAAGCCGTGACATAAGGCTCCTTATGTGGCCTTGACAATCACACCAAAAGTATTAAGAGGGACACCATCCATGCGCAACATGGCACTGTTAATACTCTGATATTTTGCAGCTGTTGATGGAATCAGACTCTCTGAGAGCTACCACAGAGTTCGGGAAACCTTACTACCAGCCGGCCTCAGAACCATTAAACTGAGTTTTAGAGCTGTACCCTCATATGGAGATAACAGGAAGAGTTGCATTGATATTAAAAGGAGGCATAAGCAAAATTCTATGAGTAGAGTCAAGAAGATCCAGCGTTCATCATCCTAGGCAGGAAACAATATAACACAGGTTACATCTACGCCAGCCCAACAGATGAAGAATGAGTTCAAGAATATATTAAAAAAATACCTGTAAATTATTAAGTTTCGCATCAAACAAAAAAATTAATACTTTCAAAATTTATTAAATTTCCTAAAGGACAATATTTTTTAACAAAATGAGATTCTTTTAAAGCTAATTATACAAGTGTACCAAATTAGTTTTTAATTGGGTTGCTACACTTTTATAATTAGCTTTAAAAGAATCTCATTTTTTTAAGAAATATTGTCCTTTAGGAAATTTAATAAATTTTGAAAGTACCAATTTTTTTTTGTTTGATGCGAAACTTAATTATTTACAGGTATTTTTTTTTATAGAATCAATAAAAAAGCAAATAGGCATTACTATTTATTTTTTGGCAAATCAAAATCTTTAGTGACAGGAAGTTCATGTCTGCAAATTCACTAATTCTAAAAGTTTATAAAGTATTTTGGATGAGTGACATTTAAGGTAAAAGATTATTACATCTGTCCAACAACATCTGTGGAGTAGTCCAAGTTGTCTGTACACTTTTGCCAAGATCATCTGTATTTATATTTTATATTAATAACATGTGTCCAATATCATCTGAAAATTCAACTACTCCCAACAACATCTTTAGAAAGATGTAGCTACATCTCTGAGTCCAATAAATAACATCTGGAAGAATTTTCTCTAGATGTAGTTACATTTTAAAAAATTTCTTTATATAACAACATCTGGTTAAGATAATGCATTATTAGTTAATATTTTTTTCCAGACGCTGTTACACCTGAAAAACCTCTATATGTAATAACCTCTGGTTAAAATAATGGGTTGTTAGTTTATATTTTTTTTCCCGATCTAATTATTAGTTAATTCTTAAAAATAAATCTTAAAAATAACTTCATTACATCACAGATGTAGTTGCACAGATGTTATTACATTTTAATAATTTAAAAGATGTAACTATATCTGTAGATATATATACATATATATCTGTATATATACATATATATCTGTAGATATATATACTGTAGAGATATATAAATCTGTAGATAGATATACAGGTGTAGCTGCACAGATGTTATTACACTTTAATTAGGTAATTTAATAGATATAACCACATCTGTAATATTCTTTTAATTTTTGCACAGATGTTATTAGACCAAAGGAATTACAAATGTTGTTGAACAGATGTTATTATATTTTTAAATTTCTTAACTCATTTTTCAATTTTTTTCAAAGTTTTTGGAATGTGTTGTTTATAACATTCTATATTTTATGTATTCGAAATAATATTTTGAATATTAACTCAGTATTTGTCCCGTTTACCATCCATCTTTATGCAGTGGATGTGTAGTATCTCCTTTATAATATATATCCACAACAATATTTATTGACGTATAGAAAAAGTAATATCTTCTCTAATTTTGTATGTAGAACCGTTAGCATCAAATCCATGCAATCAACCACAAAGTATACTTATTTGATTCAAAAGCTTTATTATTATTTTTATATTTAATTTTCGGTTTTATCAAAATCTTTTATCAATTGTTTTATAGGATTAACAAGACAAGATTTCATACTTTGGCGGCATAGCCACCCTGGGCCCAAAGTCGATATTGACCAGCCTCATTTTCAAAATTATGGGCCACATTCGTGCGGAGCAGGAGGAATAGGCTGCAGCAGAAGGTTAGTGCTATTTAATGTCGTTCATTCTAACATTTCCGATTTTGAAGAAATCGCAGACCTAGAACTGTTTTTTGGAATGTTATGCGCATGCGTTACTTTCATGTATTTCTAACAACATTAAATTTTCGAAACCTCGTGGCGCACGTAGTTAAAGTTAAGGTACTTCTAATTACGCAGTGGATAGCCTACCGAAAGTCGGTAGCGGAAAAATAAAAATTATCCTACCAAAAGTTTTTTTTTATTATTTAAAAAATATCACGTGTCACAATAAAATTGCTATATAAATATATTTTTATTAAAATTCGCTATAATGTTCAGTAGTGTATCGGATATAATCCTAGCAACGCATGTAGGCGTTCTGGGTTCGAATCCCTTGTTTAAAATATTTTTCACATTTCGATTGTTTTTTTCTATATTTTTTAGGTTTTTTACGCTTATTAATTGAATAAATTATTTAGGGATATACGCTGGGAATAGCACAATGCATTAATAGACGCGATAGAGTGTTTATACACTGACTGATTTAGGGATAGGCACCGAGGAATGTACATGCATTTACTAATTTAGGGATAGGCGGAGTGAAGTGTACATACATTTACTAGCTTAGGGATAGACGCAGTGAAGGGCACATACGTTTACTAATATAGGGATAGGCGTTGTGTAGTGTACATGCATAGACTGAGGGTTTTGGTATGGGGTGGCAGTCATTTCTATTTATTTAATGGAAAAACCTATTTAATTTTTTTACATTTTTTACGTTTTTGTTTTTTAAAAATAATATCTTAAATTTTCTTCATTTTACGGTATAACAAATATTGTTTATTTTGACATGTGATATTGTCAACCAATAAAAAAAACTTTCGGTAGGATAACTTTTATTTTTCCGCTACCGACTTTCGGTAGGCTATCCACGGCCTTCTAATTATTTACTATTTTTTATCGTTTTGTAATATTATATGTAATAATTTAAGTGTAATGTTATGTGCACTTGTTATTGGATTATATATATATATATATATATATATATATATATATATATATATATATATATATATATATATATATATATATATATATATATATATATGAATATATATATATATATATATATATATATATATATATATATATATATATATATATAATATATATATATATATATATATATATATATATATATATATATATATATATATGATTTGTTGTATATATATTGATTATATATATTACGCAGTTGTTGCTTTACATATTTCAAACAATATTAAAGTTTCAAATTTCAATTTTTTTCAAATTTCAGTTACAAGCATTGGTAAGACTTTTCGTGTTTAGGTCTTTTTGAATATTAGATACAATATTAGATAAGGTAAAGTTGTTTTAAAAATATTGTTTAAAAGATATCATCACAGAGGTTTCTATAAATCAAAAATATAGGTAGTTTATGCATATAGTTTTGATTAGCATTTAGTTATTGCATTGTTGTATAGTTTTGAATAATTTTTTAAAGTATAAAATATTAGAGATTCTAAATTCTTTTTGACTCCTTAATTGTTCATGTTTTTGGTTTTGTTTTTGGATAAAATAATTAGAAAATGCCTAAAAATACATGTATTTTTCAATTAAAATGGCTTGTTGACAGAAAAGATGGAAACTGTTATGATTTTCAGTTATTGTACTAAAGACATTAATATTGCTATCATAGAAAAAGCTGCTTTAACTTCGCACATGGAAGGTAAAAAGCACATAGAGAGATCTCCTTCTGCAAACAATATCAAGCCATTAATGCCAACTGCTACTAACACTGTTTTAGTTAATGAGTTTATGTCAAAATGCTCAAATAAAGCAAAACATAAAAAAAAAATAATTATAAAATGCTAATAAATACATATACGCTAGAAGCTGAAGTTTGTTGGCTTCTTAATATTGTTTATTCTAAATATTTAATGAATTCTTCAGCTGATTCTGGTAAATTATTTTGTAAAATGTTTCCAGATAATCATTGCTAAGTTGTTTCAATGTGGACCTACCAATGCCAGTTATGTTGAAACATTCGGATTAGCTTACTTTTTAAAAAACGAGTTGCTCACTTTCCTATCTAATACATCTTATTACGCTGTTACAAAAGGAAATCAAGGATTTGTACAATCAAAAGATGATTTACAAGAAAAAAAGATGATTCATGAAAATTATAAATTCACTGCTAAATCTTAAAAGTAAATTTTTGTAGTTATAAAGTATATTTTTGAGTTATAGTTATATGAGTTATACATTTTGAGTTAATTATGTAGTTATAGAGCATATTTTTGTAGTTATAGAGTTTTAGTTTTTGTTTTGTTGTTTTGCTAAAACCGTATTTATATTATGAGTATTTGAAATGATTAAGATGTTTTTGAAATTAGTTGCATTAAAAGTTTCCTTTCAAATAAAAAATAGTTCCTTGTTAAATCTTATTTGAATTTACATTTAGTTATTCAGTGCTTGTAGCTATATTTAAGTAGCTGTAATATATTTCTTTATTCTACATTTGATTTCTAAATTAATTTACATTTAGTAGCGTATTTTGTGTTATCTTTGGGCTATCTATAAAAAAGTCTATAAAAACTTTTTATATTGTACGTCCTAGAAATAATGAAGCAAATATCCTGGTAAAAGAAAAAAATTGTCCTGGGTAATCCTGGAATTTCAATAGTTTTTTCTGGTGTGAACCCTGTTCAAAACAAAATTCCTTTGGATTAACTAAGGAGGGCCTCTTTTCTAGATGCTTTTCTTTGTTGATCCAGAGATTATAGCAAGAAAATTTATATTTAAAGATATAGCACAGCTAATCTAATATTGAACAGTTCTATAAATTTATATATAAATCAATAAAACTGCATCAGTCTTCCAAAGATTTATTAGTAGTATAAATGTTAGTATATAAAAATAATGATAAGCTACAGTATTGTGCAAATTGATTGCATCAAAAAAAAATTTTTTTTATTTATTTGTTGTTTCATTTTTATTTGTTTGTTAATTAGTCAAAAGTAAATTTTTAAAAAAGGCGGGCAGGTATTTCAGGCACACCCTTTAGTATGTCCGTAAAAAATGCTTATATAAAACAAGTATTGTTGAAAACCCTTACCCATACCCTTACCAAATCTCAACCCTGAAAGTTAGGGTTACGCTCTGGGTTTGGTTTGCGTTCCTTGTATGTTACCGCAGGGCCTCATGTGGTGCCTTACACTACTAATGCAATTATTGATCAATAATACAAAATGCGTTTATTGATTTCACTATCATTATACATTTTCATCATCCAAAAGATAGTATCATATTGCAATATCTGTGACACCAAAAGTATCATTAATATGGGCAATCATAAGGTTGTTACAGGTTGCATAAAATGCTTTAGATATGTTCAGAAACTGGTGGTAAAAGCACCAAGAACAACAGCAAATTATTGCCTAACTTATAGATCTTCTTTCTGACTAACTATTATGATATCATTAACACCGAACTAAATAATTCAACAATAAATCATTTAATGTTTTATATAATTAATTTTATTTTCTTGTATTATTTATTTAGAATTATATAGTCTATTGTATGAAACGTTTAATGTAAATATTACTCACTATATATTAATATATGGAATAATTTTTTAGAATCCAATAATTAAGCTGAGATGTCGTCAGGTAACATTTCAATAATTACTCTCTTTTGTTACTTATCAAATCATTCATTTTAAGTACATCAATTGTTAAAAGTAATCTAGTTCTAATTTTGTTATAGAAGAGTCAGAGCCAACTCGCTCAAGATCATGTGGATCAAAGAAAAGTATAAAAATTTCTATTCACAGTATTTTAAAGATATTACTTTATTAAGTATCATCTTTTTGTAATTACATTTTGTACTTAAAATAATGTTTTTATAATTATTGTTATAACCTTTTAGAATTTAAGAAAAGGGAAGAGGTTTTGTTGTCAGGTAAAAAAAAAACGAATAAATAATTACTCTCTTTTGTTACTTATCAAATCATTCATTTCAAGTACATCAATTGTTAAAAGTAATCTAGTTCTAATTTTGTTATAGAAGAGTCGGAGATGACTCGATCAAGATCATGTGGATCAAAGAAAAGTATAAAATTTCCTATTCGCAGTATTTTTTAAGATATTACTTTATGATGTATCATCTTTTTGTAATTACATTTTGTACTTAAAATAATGTTTTTATAATTATTGTTATAACCTTTTAGAATTGAAGAAAAGGGAAGAAGCTTTGTCTTCAGGTAAAAAAGAAAACAAATAAATAATTACTCTCTTTTGTTACTTATCAAATCATTCATTGCATGTACATCGATTGTTAAAAGTAATGTAGTTCTAATTTTGTTATAGAAGAGTCGGAGCCGACTCGCTCAAGATCATGTGGATCAAAAAAAAGTATAAAATTTCCTATTCACAGTATTTTTTAAGATATTACTTTATGATGTATCATCTTTTTGTAATTACATTTTGTACTTAAAATAATGTTTTTATAATTATTGTTATAACCTTTTAGAATTGAAGAAAAGGGAAGAAGCTTTGTCTTCAGGTAAAAAAGAAAACAAATAAATAATTACTCTCTTTTGTTACTTATCAAATCATTCATTGCATGTACATCGATTGTTAAAAGTAATGTAGTTCTAATTTTGTTATAGAAGAGTTGGAGCCGACTCGATCAAGATCACGTGGATCAAATAAAAGTATAAAATTTCCTATTCACAGTATTTTTTAAGATATTACTTTATGATGTATCATCTTTTTGTAATTACATTTTGTACTTAAAATAATGTTTTTATAACTATTGTTATAACCTTTTAGAATTGAAGAAAAGGGAAGAGGTTTCGTCGTCAGGTAAAAAAAAAACAAATAAATAATTACTCTCTTTAGTTACTTATCAAATCATTCATTTCAAGTACATCAATTGTTAAAAGTAATCTAGTTCTAATTTTGTTATAGAAGAGTCGGAGCCGACTCGCTTAAGATCATGTGGATCAAAGAAAAGTATAAAAATTTCTATTCACAGTATTTTAAAGATATTACTTTATTATGTATCATCTTTTTGTAATTACATTTTGTACTTAAAATAATGTTTTTATAATTATTGTTATAACCTTTTAGAATTGAAGAAAAGGGAAGAAGCTTTGTCTTCAGGTAAAAAAGAAAACAAATAAATAATTACTCTCTGTTGTTACTTATCAAATCATTCATTTCAAGTACATCAATTGTTAAAAGTAATCTAGTTCTAATTTTGTTATAGAAGATTCGGAGCCGACTCGATCAAGATCTAGTGGATCAAAGAAAAGTATAAAATTTCTTATTTGCAGTATTTTTTAAGATAATACTTTATGATGTATCATCATTTTGTAATTTTCTATTTTATTCCATTTTTAGTTGTAGAAAAAATGCTGCTTCAGTTAAGTGAGTTTTATCAATAATTTTTTTGTTTTTTGAGTCTTATCATTTGTTTTTTTATTTTAGTAAACATGCATGTATCCAAGACTATTGACCATATCGTTTTGATTGCTATATAATTTATCTCATTGTTTAAAAAGTACTATTAACAATCAATAACAATTTCCACTTGAATTAAGTGTCTTTGATATGTCAATCAAATTACTTTGTCTTATGCAATAGGCAACTTAATACATACATATTTTGGTATGTGTTTTGGGCACTGGTTAAATCATTTGATATCATGTCAGTGAATTTACATTTATAATAGAGAAATATTTATAAAAATATAAAAAAAAAATAGTTTTTTTTTTTTTTTTTGTAAAACAAAAGTTTTGCTTATGTTATAATGAATGTTTTCTTTTTGTTGTTTTAGTGGAACTGCAAAAAGATACCTGTACGTTTTTAATGTTATCGTTTATTTGTTGTAGAAACTTAAAGTGATCTTTTATATAACATGTTTACTTCAATTTTAAAAAATTAAATCATTTTTCATTTCATTTACCTCTTTAGTACTACGTGTGAAGCAATTAGAAGAAGATAAAGGTTTTTTAAGTTCTACTTTATACTAGATAGATATTTAAACTATATAAACTATCCTATTATTAAACTGAAATATTTGCATTTACTTTTCAGATACAGTAACGTTTTCTTCACAAGCCACAAACGGTATTGGTATTATTTTGAGTGTGATAGTTTAAAAATCATACATTACATATTCCTTACATATTTTGTTTATTCCAATGTTAGATTTGTCCTACGATGGCTATCGTATTTGCCGTCGACGGCATCGTGGGCCCACTTCCTACAGCTCCTACAGGAAGTGGGTCAACAATAACGGAGTTGACAACTCCTCCTTTAATTGGAAGGGAAGAATGAGAGGAGGCGGCAGAGGTCGGGGTGGGTGGCTTAATCATAAAAATTTTAACTTATTTAAACTTTAAATATATTGTAAATAAATGTTTAGTTTTTCTTGTTGTTTAAAAACGTCTATTTTGTTTTTTCAAAAAAGTGACAACGGATCTCTAATACACTGAATTGACATTTACTAAATTAACATTAACAAAAGCGGATCTCAACGCTAATAAAACATTTTTTGCATTTGTTAATTAAATTAATCTAATTTAATGTCTTGCTTGCCTTCAAAGTACAAGTCCGATTTGGTATCTCTTTTGACTGGAAGAAAAAGTCTTATATCCTATGTAAATTAACATTTATTCTTTTTAAATTAAAATTGAAACTTTTATATGCTAATACATGTATTTGCATAGTAGCCCTCTAATATTGGCCTATGGAATGCTTATTGATTGACTTACAAAAATCTTTTTTTTGTATTTTTGTGAAAGTTGATTGTTTTGGTTAGCAGACGTTAACATAACTCCAAAGTAGGTCGATGTTTTCGGTGGCCGTTAACTTTTTTATTTGTTCGAGTTAATGCAAAACAGCAAATAATTGCATGAGGAAACGTAATATTAAATACTAAGGATTATTATTAAAGCAAACAAAAACAAAGATTATGGATTTATCTATGTATGGAGAAAATTTGAATTTCAGCAGTTCTGATGAAATAAGCTCTGATGAAGAAAGCGGAAATATAAAAGGTAACTTAATATATAAACATTTTCAGTTTAATAAATGCAAAACTTATTACATTTTTTTTTGTTTATAACAATGTTATAAACAAAATAAATGCAATAAATAATTATATAGTTATTGACATATTTTTTAATTTAGAAGTCTATGAACAAAGTTTGAGTATCATTGAAAATAATTGTTTACCTACACGTGATATTGTTTATGGTATGTTTTTAGTCACTGTTACCGTACAAAAACTGCCAGTTTTTTTCTTATTTCTTCTATAGGAAAAAAAAAGAAAAAATGGTGTCAGTAGCATATATATGTTATTTAAATGGACAACACAAGAACAATCAAAACAAAAAAATTTTCGTCATAAAGAATTTTTTTTTGCAATTGTTTGTGATTTAAAATTATTATCTAAAGTTTAAAATTAGTTAGTTTTTTGTAAGATAAACTAAGTTTTTGTAGCAGTTAACAGTTAACAGCAATTGACAGTACATTAAGTGCTAGGTCTAGTACTTTATTATAGGCTTTTTTTTATGCCTAAAAAGTTCTTTACTTATTTTTTATTTAAAGTTCTTTATTTAAAGTTCTTGAACACATTTATTAAACTTTTTTCTAATGATATCACAAAACTTTATACAAAGGTTTGTGATATCATTTAGTGTGCCTTTTTTTTTTGTTGTAAGAAATATTCAAAATAGTTTTTATAGTCTATTTTCATATTCACTGAAAGTATACTGATCAATTTGATTTTAATTTTTATAGAAGGAAAAAAAAAATTAATTTATCATTGTAATTCGCATAAAGAAGCATTAAACTGTGTGAAAAAATATGAGTTAGCAACTACAACAAGATTTGTTGTCTATAGTGTAACCAAGGACTTTGGAATAACAGGTAAACTATAGTTTTTAGTGACCTAGTTTTGAAAAAAAATCATTTTGCATTACACAAATATTTGCAATGTAAAAGCAATGATTTCGTGACATGTTTTTTTGATTAACATAAAATTACTTGGCTTAAATATGAAAATAGTTTCTTTAAATGCAAGATTAACTTTATCATAACTAAAAATATTAAAAATGAATATCATTCTCATTTCGTCATTTGTTTTTAATTTATTTAATGTTACTAGAAATACTTAAAGTTCATAACATTTTTAATGGTTTTTATGAACTAAATTGCGCTGAATAAATATATGCCAAAGTTGGCATTATATATCTATAATACAGAATAAAATGTTTTATTATATATATATATATATATATATATATATATATATATATATATATATATATATATATATATATATATATATATATATATATATATATATATATATGTATATATATATGTTTTGTTTTTTTAAGGTTGTAATAATATACTTATATATAATTATAATGTTGTTAATATATATAAGTAATAATATACTTATATATAATAATAAGGTTTTAATAATAACTTATAATTAATAAATAAATAAATATATATATATATATATATATATATATATATATATATATATATATATATATATATATATATATATATATATATATATATATATATATATATATATATATATATTTATATATATATAATACACTTTTTTATAATAAATTTGTTTGTGTTGCTTTTATATAATTTTTTAATAAGTTTAGTCACATTCCAAAAACTATATATTTTTTTATAGAAATGATTGCAAAAAATCATAATGTTCTATGGGAAGATTATGCCATTCAGTATTCAGGCATACCTCATATGGTTGTTGGTCACAAAATTTTAGATTGTCATCATGGTTTTGATAGGAATATTTCAGCGAAAAATAGTTATAAAAAAAAAAAAAAAAATGCCAAGGTAATGTTATCACTTTTATCTTTCATACTCAATTAAATTTTTTTTTCTTGTTTCTCTAATACCATAGAGTTTAAAAAAAAACAAAAAAAAAACATCACTATTTTAAACAAATAAACAACATTCCAAAAGTGGTGCCCATTAAATAAAAGTCTTCTTTTATCATTTGTTTCTTTTAGATGGATGATCACAGCTTTCAGAAAAATTATGTGATTCTGCAAGATACAAAAAAGTTTCTGTGTCCTGCAAAGATAGTTATGAGAGAAATATTACAATTTCCTGATTTCAAGGTTTGAGTAACTAAATTATAGGTAACATGCCTTTTTTAATTTTGTAATGTATGGTGGTGTGACATAAAGCAGCCCTGAATCGGATTTAAGGGTCCCCTAAGGTTAGTGGAAAGATGTATCTTTTTAAAAATATGCCTTTATTGAAACAGGATTAAGTTTTAGGTGTCTCACTCAACTTTCTTGACTAAGTCCCTCTATAAACCCAGTTTAGTCCTTATTGTTTTTGTATTATTGTTTTAATTTAGATACCTAAGCATTCAGCTTGGCACAAAAAAAAAGCATCAAAACTATTGAAAGAAAAATTAAAATTGTCATGTTTAAATGAAGTACCTTATATTCGGAAAGTTGTTGTAGCTATTGATGATTTATCATGTCATGATAAACACCCTATTGGAAAGGTAAAAATAAAATTTTTGTATATACTTTGTACTTGCAAAAAGGTTTAAAACAGTACTGTAGTTTATTAATTAATTTACCATATTAAATATTTTTTTAAATTAGGTAGAACTAATTTCTCAAATAATCGATCCTCATATTTCAAAAAAGATTGAAGAATATGTTATAGAAGGAATATACAATATAAGGGAAATGAAGCACCTCCTTCGTTTGACAGTAAAAGATACTTTTGGAAATGAAAATCTTCCTCCTTCGAATAGCAGAAGATTCTATCCCAACACTGCAATCATAAGATCACATATAGTAAAAATTAAAAACAAGTTACGGTAAATCACAAATGTTGATTATTTCTTAGAATAAATTATACATATGAAATGATTTGTTTTACTAATTTAGACGTTAACTTGATTTATGTTTAAAGTAATCTTTAAAACTTTCATTTTATTAATGTTGTTGTTTCTATTTATAAAGGCATTCCATGATTGACCAAGAATGTCTTTTGATAAAATGTGAAGAATGGAAAAAATGTGGTCCGTCTGTCAAAGTGTTTCTTAGACCAAACTGTAGTGGCGAAGATGGTGGTGATAAATGTTCATTTTTATTTGTTTATCAGTCACAGTGGCAACAACACCTTCTCATGCGCTATGGAACTCTCTTCCTCTCTTCTTTTTAACTGTAAAAACTAGTTTTGACTACCAAATAGTAGCCAGTTTTGTTATTGAATGTGAAACAAAACAAGCCATCACAGAAGCGCTTCACATAATAAAAGATTGGAACCCATCCTTTCAACCTTCCTTTTGCATGACTGATTATTGTACTGAAGAAATGGATTCATTAGAAGCTGTTTTTCCAGGTATAAATAAAGTTTTTAATAGTTTTCATTTGTTAATAAATAGTATGACAGTTTAAATATACATTTGAAAGTAAATAATGTAATAAATAAAATAAATAATGTAAACCATTTAATAGAATATTTTGAACCGTTTCCTGTTGTCATTTTTTAGTTCACTTGAAACTCTTTATTTTTCGTTGTGTAACTCATCTGTATTCGTTTTATCTTATTTTAAAATATAGAGAATTATTTTTAGGTTGCCGTGTTCTTATATGTGATTTCCATAGAGAGCAGGCATGGCATCGCTGGATTGTCAAAAAAACAAACAACTGCTCAGAATTTAAAGACTCAATAATTTCAATGCTACGAAATATTGCATGGGCACAAAATGAAAAGATGGCAGATGCAGCAATAGTTAAGCTAAAATGTTCCAACTTTTGGTTGGACAACAAATTTCATAAATTTAAGAAATATATTACTAATTATTGGTTACAAATTAAAGAAGTGAGTATATATTTAACATTATAATTATTATCCCAAATTTAACATTATTTAACATTTTTTGCTATACATAACACAAGTATTGCAAATTTTAAAGCATTAATTTATGGTTAAAACAAGATTAACTTATACTCATGTCAATGTAAATCTGCAAAAACAAGTGTTATTATTTTTATCTAGAAATGGATATGGGGGTATCGTAAGGATCGATTTTTAGTAAACCTTAATACCAACAATGGAATTGAAAGGCAACATGAATCTTTTAAATATTCTTATCTTCAAAGACATAAAAGTTCATTAATTACTGGAATGCTTACTCTTTTAATAGAAGAGTTTTTTGCAGATAAATTTGAGAAGTATATTAAAAAGTTTTATTGTAGCCTGATTTGAAGGAGTTTATTAATTTTTTTTTTTTTTTTTTTTTGTGTTTATATATAAATATATTTATATGTATATATATATATATATATATATATATATATATATATATATATATATATATATATATATATATATATATATATATATATATTAGTTAATTTATTTTTTGCTTATTTTTTAAGATATTCAGAATCTAATTACAAAATGGATTGTCGATTTAAACAATACAATTCTAATGTACCTGAATACTTGATAAATAGGCCACACCATTTTATTAAGCATTGTTTAGCGAAGCAAAATTTGGCTAACAACACTGATCTAAATAAAGTGCAAATGAAAGATCCTGGAGTATTTGTAGTCAATAGCTTTTCTATTGCAAACAAAAATTACCTTGTTAACTTTGGCGATGAGAAGAACATGCCAAAATGTTCATGTAATGATTGGTTTAAATCTTCCTATCTATGCAAACACTTTTTTATAATTTTTAGAAAGTACCCACTAACATGGGGATGGGAGTCTATATCGTCTTTATATAGAAGTTCTCCATTTTTAAATATTGACACATTCACTAATGATTTTGTATTAAGTAAATCAAATATAATCAAGTGTAACCATGTGAATCATAATAGTTTCAACTTAATTAATGACACTATTTGCAGTACAACAACGATAAATCCATACAAAGATAGTACAAGAAAAAGAAGTTCTACAGCCTCTGAAGTCCGCGAAATGCTAGCAACCATAAAAAATTTAACATTTGATTTTGATGAATCATCAGAAGAACTATCTGATCTACATGAAACACTTTCAAATGTACTTAAAAAGCTTTATCAAGCAAGAAAAAAAGAGAAAGGTCTACCATTAAGCTCAGGTTATGGTATGCATGATTATGTACACAAAAAACAAAAAAATATAGTTGATTTACCTGTTGTTAAAAAAAAATTGTATTCCAATCGTGTGGGTGAAAAAAAAGAAAAGTTGATGGTAGCCTCTATAATAAAAATTGAAAGTAATTTTTATGAAGCACCAGTGCAGGAATCAATTATTACTGAAGATCAAATAACTGGTGAAGAAACTTTTCAAACAAATTCTTTTACAAATAATTATTTAGGAAAATCAGTTTTATTTGAAAGAAATTATTCTTTACTTTCACAAGAAGATTTTGAAGACATTTCGAAAAATCGAATGTTATCTGATACAGTTATTAAATGTTTTCAAGATATGTTAAAGAAAGCTAACCCTTATGCAAATGGACTTCAAGATCCCATATTGGGACAATTATTAAAGTTTGATGTTATTGGTTCTTTACCATTTATACAAATTATATATAATGGGGATTACCATTGGCTTGCCATCAGTACATATGGTTGTTCATATGGTGAAATAAATGTGCTTGATAGTAACTTTCATGGGTGTTTAAGCCTTGAAACACAAAAACAAATATGTGCCCTTTTAAAGTACAAAAAAGATGAGATTACAGTAAAAGTGCTTTCAGTACAGCAACAAGATGGTGGTATTGATTGTGGTTTGTTTTCAATAGCCTTTATTGAATTTATTTTATCACAAAACAGGTATCCTATAGAAGATATTTGGTTTGATCAAACAAAGTTAAGAAATCATGCCCTTTCCTGTTTAATAAATAATTTAATAACTCCTTTTCCACTTACAAATAGTGCAAGCCGTAGATGCTCTCCAAAGGAATTTAAATTAAAACTGTACTGTTCTTGCAGGATGATTTGGATTCCATCAGATAGAACAATATGTGGAAGGTTTTGTATTGCATGTTTTATGTTTGTTATGGAGTGTACATATAATGCCTGGCTAGTAAGTGACCGGGTCCCTGGCCCCGGCTAAAAACAGAGGTTTTTGCAAACCCGGCCCCGGCTAAACAAACAATATTTGCAGGGGTTACTAGCCGGGGCTAACAAAAAAAAATCAACTATTTTTTAGTATTTATCAATTTCTTTACATTTAAATACTTCACGGCTGTTTCACTCAATATAAAAGCGAGCCTGACGTCACGAGTTTATCAAAAAAAAAAAAGTATTTCCGCATAAAAAGTATAAAAATTCATTAACTTTAAAATAATAGTATTTTTTTTCTATAAATGCTTTCATCTTCAAATAAAAAAAATATAAAAGATCTATCTTTCCTTGTTAAATAAACATTTACATTAAACGGAATAAAAATGAAAGCTGTAAAAATATTGTTAATAATTTGGCATCACTTTTCTGATTTTTGCGATTTTTACGCAAAACCTGTCTTAGGCCAACTAAGATTTGATAACATAGCTACATGGTCGATGGTTGAAATTTAGAACAGTTATTAATGAATGTCTGTTCTATCTAGATTTCCACAGACTTTGCAAGTTTTTATATAGAAAGTTAGTTTTTAATGCATTTATATTTTTGTTTTTATTCGTTTTGAATAAAAAACATAACATTTTTGAAAAGTCTGTGGATTTAGTAATACTTCAACCTTATATGAATAAGAAAATCAAAAAATTATTTTCTGTACCTCTAGCTATGTTATCAAATATGTTTTCAAACTTGGCATGTTTAGCGACATTTTTTTTAGTTTTTTTTGCATAAATTCTTGTTTACATTTTAAAGCGGTGACGCAAACTCGGATCGTTACGTCCCCAACGATTATCGGATGCATTTTAAGAAAACAAACAAAACAAACGAGACACATTTTATAGAATAAATAACAAAGTTTCGCGGATTAATTTCTCTTGGATATTTGACTAATTTCAGATAAGTTGATTAATCCGATTTTATCTAGTGCATCTATTTGTCAATATTATTCTATTTAAGTTGTTTGTATTATAATTTTATTACTATATCAATAAAGATTATAAAGCAAAGTTTCGTGGATTATTTCCTCGTGGATATTCGACTAATCTCAGATAAGTTGCTTAATTCTTTTATTTTTAGTGTATTTATTTTTAAATATTATTTTATTTAATTTCTTTTATTATATTATTATTATAATATCATTATCATTATTTATGTGATGTATGCAACTGAGAGGGAAATTTTGAAACTGTACATCGGTTGGGAAGATGGTTGGGAAAATGAGTATAACTTTAATTTTGTAAAGCGAGTAATTGACACTAGTAAGATCACTAACAATGTGATTTCAATTTTATTAACAGTTTTTCATCCAAAAGCGTTGTTTACTTTTTTAAGTTTTCTTTTGCCAATTGAGTTTAATATGCCTAATATTGATGTGTTAAATAAAATGTGCCGAAAAATAAAACAAAGAAAAAAAGATTCTAAAAAGTATTTTGAAGCTTCAAAAAACGAAGCATTTTTTAAAATGCAACTGTCTCCAGCTCCACAAACAAAAAAACAAAAAAAATCAGCAGATGCAGATAATTTTTATATTTTAAATAGGAATAAGGAACTAAGTAGTCAAGTTGAACAATTAATTTCTAAAGAAAAAAATAATGTGGAGCAAATAGATAATTTAAAAATACAGGTATCAAAGTTGGAAACTGAAGTTATATATTTAAATTCTAAAAACAAGGCTCTCAACGCACATTGTAACTCATTAAGTTCTCAATTAGAGACTATGAGTATTAGGCTAAAACAGGAGGAGCAGTTCCAACTTTTAAAAAAAAAAAAATTAAAAACAGCACACCGTAAATTTGCATCTGCTCGTGCCAAAAATGTAAGATTGCTAAAAAAATTTAAATTTGAAAAAAAAAATGCAAAAATCAGTGATATAAACAAGAACAGTTGCCAAATTTGCAAATATTTTGCTAGCAGTGATAAGGATTTAGTTGTCGTTGATTCTTATTTAGACTATGACAACATTGGTTCCTCTGAATTATTCTGTGGGTTTAAATTAAGTAATCCACAGACTATATCAGTTAAAAAGCCAATAGTTGGTAAGAAATATACTTACATTAAGTTAGGAGATGGTAAATCTTATTCTAAGTTAGGTAGGCATGCTGCAGCTAGACGATCTAAACTTGCTTTTATATTCCTTCGATTATTAGCTTGTTCAGATTTGGAAAGTGATTTGTCTATGTTGTTTTGTGATTCTGTGTCTTGTGAAAAGTCTATGTTTCATTGTGTTGCAAATAAGTTGGGTTTAGTTAGGCAGTTAAGTGTTTCTGATGCTGTAGAGCTGCAGAGCCAATTAAGGATGCCCACGGCTGAATTCCGTAGGCTAAGACGTATTCTGTGTAATCTTGGTGCAAGGATTCTCCCATCTGAGCCCAAGATAAGACAAGAACAAGAAATGCGGACAATGCATGTTAGTAAAGAACATGTTACTGTAAAGTCCATGTTGCTTTATCCATCTGCGAATGAAGCACCTTGTTTAGTACCTGTATTGATGGTCAAGAATTTGATAACTTATATTGAAGAGGTTTTCAATAGTCTGCACGTTCGTGACCACTTCAATTCTGATGTCGGTTTTTGCGAAGAGGTATGGCTCCTTTTTGCTGGGGATAAGGGTGGGAAGTATATGAAATTCCATTTTGAAGTTGTCAATTCTAAATCATCAGGGTCTGTATATGATGTTCATTTATTTTGTATGTATCAGGGTTCAGACTGTCGTGAGAATATTGCCTTAGTTCTCGGGCATTATGCCAACGACATTAAAAGAATTCAGTCGTCAGATTTTAAGCTAAAAGGCAAAATAGTCAGGTTGTTCTTAGGTGGAGATTTTCATTTTATCGATGATGTTCTGGGACACCAGGGTTCAGCTGCTAGCTTTCCTAGTTCTACAGACCTAGTTAAGTTGAATTCTCTAAGAAACCATGCTTCTATGCCTCACACACCTGCTAATTGTAACATCTTAAGGAGGACAATACAATCTCTGGAAAGTGCTTACAATGAGAACTTGTGTGAAGATAGACAAGGTGGAAACCTAAGAGCTCTAGGTAAGTTTCATAATTCAATTATTGCTCCTGTGATTTTCCCCATAATAACTTTAGATAATGTAGTGCCACCTGTTTTGCATATTATGTTAGGAGTTGTGTTAAAACTTTATAAGTTATTGTTGAAGGAGTGTAAGATTTTGGATTGTCAAGCTGTTTCGTCTTTGTCGCATAATGAGAATGTGAGAACGAATGAATTGTGGGCTGCTAAAAGCTTTGAATGTTCTAAAACAGCAGACTCTTTACGTTTATTAGGAAATCAATTTGTAGACGTTGCAAATCTACAGACTCGTTGGTTAGCTTTTGATAAAAATATTTCTGAATTGGAATGCATATCTCTAAACTCCTCCAATAAAAAAAAAACCTGTAAACAGCAAGAAAAGTGTGCTAGTATCAGGTGTTTAATTACTAAATATGATTGTAACATTGATTGGGTGCAGTGCGGTACGTGCCAAAAATTGTTCCATCAATTTTGTGAAATTATTGGTGGTTCGGAAAAGAATGTATTGTGTGATATAGAGAAGTATGAGTGTTTAGCATGTCAGGGTGAAGATTTAGAATGTCTTGACCTTTATATTTCTGAAAAAATTTCTTTTATACGCGCACAGCGCGAAGTTTTAGACGTTGAGTATATTCGATTGCAGATAGAGTGTGAAGACCTAGAAAAAATATCAATAAGTAGCATGGGGACTCATGAGAGGTCTCTTTATAAGGCCCTTGAAGATATGAAAGTTGAGCGACAAGCTTACCATGGTAATGTATTTGTAGGTAATCATTGTAAAATAGTATTAAGAAACCACTATAAACTTTGTAGTGTTATTGATGATGAAGCAATTAAAAATAGATTTGTACGTGTGTTTAGTGTTTTTAATAACTTGCAACCTATTCTTTTTAAGCGAAAATTTCTTTCTGATGCCGAAATTTCTGAGCTTCATCAATATATAAATTTATTTGCTATTGAGTTTCATGCTTGCTTTCCAAAAGAAAGTGTCACGCGAAAAATGCATGAACTCATTTTCAATGTGCCACTATTTGTAAAATTGCATAAAACTATTGGGTTGCTGAGTGAAGAGGAGGGAGAGTGTTTGCATAATAGCGTAAATAAGGAATTAAGGCAGTTGCATTCAGTTAGAAATCAGGAGCAAAAGCTGCATCTTGTTTTAAAACGCTTTGAATTGCACAGCAAAGCTGATAGGAAGCTTCAAGCCTCTAAGGTGAGAAAGTGTGTTGTGTGTTCAGAGCGTGGCGAAAATTCATTTTATAGACAAGGTCTTTGTCTTGTTTGTGGTCATCAAATTTAGTTTAAATGTTTGAAAAGTTAAAAAAAAAATTAAACTTTTTACATCTAAGATAAATTATATAAGATCCTTAATTTACAAATAAGAGAATTCTATTCTGTTTTAATGCCTGTAATGTTTGTTCAAAATAATAATAATTTTTTATTACAATGATTTTATATATTAGGTAGATGCCCATTCTGTTCCTATTTTCAAAAGTTTATTATATCTATGCAATGCCTTTGCTCAGGTTAAAGAATGGAATAAAAGTCTAGCATCAAATGTATAGCTAACTATTTTAATTTGTGATCAGAGCAACTGGTATGTTTGTTGGATATGATTTTGTATGTTTATGTAGTTAATTCAAAAAACGTTTTATCCTTTGTTATGTAATATGTAACATTTTTTATATATATTAGATCTCCGTTCAATTTTTATCATCAAAAGTTAGTTCTACCTTCGCAGGACCTCTGCTCTACATACCTCCTCTCTGGTTAAAGAATGGAATATAAGTCTCATTTATCAAGTTGGTGTAAAAATTTAGCTTGATAAATTAAGAAGTTGTAAACTTTATTATCACAATTGCCAAGTTGACCAAATGTTCTTCTGGTTTTAAATGAATTATGTATGAGTCTAGTATCATCTGGGTGTTCAAAGATAGTTTACTGCTTGAAGAACATATCAATGGACCAACTAATTATAAAACAGTTTTTAATGAAAATAAAAACGAATTATCAAAAGATTTAATTCAGCTATTTGTGTATATTTAAACACTTTATTTTTTGTGAGAAGAGATTATTGATACAAGTACCATAAAATAATTCTACTACCAAAAGCTAGGTTAATTCAAAACCTTTAACTCAATTTTGGTCATGAA